ATTTATTCACCTTTTTACTATGCTCCAAATCTTTGGTAGTTCCATCATTACTAAATAGTACTTCCAAGTTATCTATAGTCAGATACTAGTAACGTGCAAAGGTCTACATTAAAAAGCCGTCCCGTGACTGCAGAGTATCGGGAAGTAGGCTATGAAGTATGTTCTCTATTTGATAGCCATACTAATATTTCGCCTAATCCACAGGTAGCCCAAGTTTGCAAAAGCCTATTGGAATTTTTAAAACTATCTTCCAGCACATCTGCAGGGTTAGAAATACATTTGTTCTTCCCTTCATCCTTTAAGTATGAAGTCCTTAGTTCACTACTAATCTGATGTATATTTAGGAAAGATCGATGTCAACTTAAGGTGCACAATCTTGCAGAAAGCTTAGCCAGTTAGTAAAAACCTATATCTGCTGAGTATATTTGATTTATGTTACTAGATCTGTGCTTATCGCGATCAGCTACCGCTAGCGTGGTTGTGTACAAAACTGCCACTCCTTTCGGAGTACCTATCTGAACTCTGATCATGCCCTGGTCTGCGCCAATCTTACCTTACTTTTCAGTGGACAACGAAGTGACCGCCACCAACGGATTGATGTTAGCAAGCTGGTTGCAACTTCTGTTGCTAGTAAGTATCGAACCGAGTAGCGAATGTCCGGCGCTTTAACCGGATTCCAAATCAATGGTGCACATGGGCTCCAGTATCCTGCGGGAACGAATGGCGTATGAACCAATCGTTGGTCACCGGCTACCATGGGACTGCATCTCCTTACGATGCTCCACTGCCTTGTGGGTTAGACCTTTAGGGCAAAGGCTCGGGGAGTGGCCCCCTAAGATAACCACCTGCTTCGGTTTGGGCACCCGGGCAGTATCACAGCCCACACACAAATTGATGAACTCTTTATGCCTATGGAAATTACCTTTCTCGCTTTGAAAAACAAACAATTGATTCAGATTATTATCATTACAATTATTGTCATTATTAATACTAATATTATTATTACTACTATTATTGTCATTATTGTTATTATTATCATTATTATTATTATTTTCCACATTATTCACCCTCTTTTATACTTATACAGCGGCTCGTCTTTGGTGGAAATTCGACTGTATCTAAACGTTCTCGAGTCACTGTCCGGTTGAAAATTGTATGTTACCACTGAATATGAATACTGAAGCAGTTTTTCTGAAACCACGTGCACCATTCAAACTGGCTGCCTTCAACGTTCGCACATTTATGCAGGTCGGACAACAGATAGGGCTGGCTATGTCTTTGGAAAGTCTTAATATTGATGTCTGCTGTCTATCCGAGACCCGTATTCAAGACTCTGGCGAAGTACTACAAATTCGATCTCCATCTGTCGCTTCGAAAAGCTTGTTTTACGTGCGCTTATCCGGGGACCCTGTGGCATCTTCGTCTGGTCTTGCTGGCGTTGGTGTCGCACTAAGCGCTAGAGCTGAGGCAGCACTAGTCGATTGGATCCCCATTAACAGTCGGTTATGTGCTGTTAGATTAGAAAGTTCCATCAAAGTGGGAAGAAATCGGCGTGAGAAACGATGTCTTTTTGTCATCTCCGCCTATGCCCCGACAGATTGCAGCCCGGATGCAATCAAGGATGAGTTTTACCACCAGTTATCAGTTCTTCTCCAGAAAGTGGGTTCGACAGATATTGTAGTACTAGCCGGAGACTTGAATGCTCAGGTCGGGCGTCTAGGCACGGAAGAGAGTCGTTTAGGTGGCCGATGGGGACTTGTTGGTCGCAGGTCAGATAACGGGGACCGTCTACTGCAACTATGCACAGACCACAACCTGTTTCTGGCTAGCACTAACTTTCGGCACAGTCATCGCCGATGTGCTACCTGGCGTCCCCTTTCTGCATCTCAAGCCTGGACTCAGATTGATCACATCGCGATCAGCTACCGCTAGCGTGGTTGTGTACAAGACTGCCACTCCTTTCGGAGTACCTATCTGGACTCTGACCATGCCTTGGTCTGCGCCAATCTTGCCTTACTTTTCAGTGGACAACGAAGTGACCGCCATCAACGGATTGATGTTAGCAAGCTGGTTGCAACTTCTGTTGCAAGTAAGTATCGAACCGAGCTAGCCTCTAGGCTAGCTACCACTCCACCGAAAAGTATAGATGAGCATTGGTTGCAATTGCGTGACGCCATGAAAATGGCGGGTACAGTCAGTTGTGGGTTTGCGAAACGTCCCGCTTTTAAGCACTGGGTTTCTTCTGGTTCCTTACAACTCATTGAAGCCCGTCGGTCTACTCCGCGTGACCGTGAGTTTGACCATAAACGAAGGATGTTACGTAAGGAAATTGGGCAAAGCTTGCGTAAGGACCGAGAAGCCTGGTGGTCGATGCGTGCTAATGAGCTGGAAGCAGCAGCTGCATCTGGTAACTACCGGAAGCTCTTCCAGCTCATCCGAGCCACTGGCAGCAAGAAGTCTGGTGTGAGTGAAACAATCTGCGAGGATGATGGGATGCCAATCACTAACATCCATCGACGTCTTGTACAATGGGCAGAATTCTTCGAAGGGCAGTTCAACTGGCCTGCTGCTGGTGGGGGTGTGAGTGATGAGATCAATGCACGTATAGTGAAAAGCAGAGCGGCTTATGTCCATCTGGGCCATCTCTGGCGCCTTCGTAATGTTAGTCTGGACGTAAAAGGTCGGATCTACAACGCGTCTGTGAGAGCAGTCTTGCTCTATGCTTGTGAAACCTGGCCTCCGAGTTGAGGACGTTAGACGACTTTCTCTGTTCGATCATCGTTGTCTCCGAAGGATTGCTGACATTCAGTGGCAACACCATGTCAGTAATGCAGAGGTTCGGCATCGTGTGTTCGGGCACAGAGATGATAACTCAATTGGTGTTATCATCTTGAAACACCGATTTCGGTGGCTTGGACATGTCCTACGAATGTCGTCCCAGAGAATTCCACGTCGTGCATTATTTGCCGACTCGGACTGGTTGGAAGAAGTGGAGAGGTGGTCAGTGCATGACATGGTGTCGTGGCATGAAAGAAAGCTGCAAAGGACTGGCTTGTGTTGGTCCTTCACGACTCCCTGGCTGGGGTCCGAGAGATGGTGCTACACAGTGGCTAGAGACGTTATCAGATATGGCTCCGAATAGAAGCCAGTGGCGATCGTGCTGTAACCTTCTTTTACTTTCTTCATAAAAAGTGGTTGTGTCTTCCCTAACTGAAAGATTTCTTCTGATTGTACCTTTTCGTTCCGTCGTTACTACCACACTACCTTACTCCAATCTCTTCGTCATTGTTCTCTTTTTCTTTTGCGTTCCTTAGTTTTTTTTCTTTTTTCTTTCTACTTCTCTCGAATTCCCATTGTTTTGTGTGGCGCATATATATTGGCGCTCTCTTGTACCAATATTTATGTGTTCAAATAAATAAATAAATAAATACCGAGTAGCTTCTAGGCTAGCTACCACTCCATCGCGAAGTATAGATGAACATTGGTTGCGATTGCATGACGCCATGAAAATGGCGGGTACAGTCAGTTGTGGGTTCGCGAAACGTCTCCCTTAAAAGCACTTGGTTTCTTCTGGTTCCTTACAACTCACTGAAGCCCGTCGGTCTACTCCGCGTGACCGTGAGTTTGACCACAAACGAAGGATGTTACGTATGGAAATTGGGAAAAGCTTGCGTAAGCACCGAGAAGCCTGGTGGTCGATGCGTGCTAATGAGTTGGAAGCAACAGCTGCATCTGGTAATTACCGGAAACTCTTCCAACTCGTCCGAGCCACTGGCAGCAAGAAGTCTGGTGTGAGCGAAACAATCTGTGAGGATGACAGGATGCCAATCACTAACATCCATCGACGTCTTGGACGATGGGCAGAGCTTTACGAAGGGCAGTTCAACTGGCCTGCTGCTCCGGCAACATCGGTCAAACTGTCCTGTCCTCCATGGCCGGTGACAATTGATCCACCAAATGAGGCGGAAGTCCGCAAGGAACTCCAACTCTTGAAACGCTGCAAATCACCTGGCCCAGATGACTTACCTCCGGCTCTTTTTAAAGATGGTGGTGACTTTCTGACTAAGGAGTTGACGACGTTGTTTACAAAGGTTTGGGAGCTAGAGAGTGTACCAACGTCATGGAATGAGTCGATAGTTATCCCTATTTTTACAAAGGGTTCACGTCGTTCCTGTAACATCTATCGGGGGATAAGTCTACTTCCGACTGCGTCCAAGCTATTGGCTTCCGTCATACTTCGTAGGCTGTTCAAAACCCGAGAAAGATTGACTCGCGAGGAGCAGACTGGTTTTCGTTCTGGTCGAGGGTGTATTGATCATATCTTCACCCTCCACCAAATGTTAGAACACCGCCATACTTATCACAGGCCAACAATCGTAGTGTTTCTTGACATCAGGGCTGCCTTCGATTCGTTGGATAGGACTGTTCTCTGGGATTGTCTATTGAAGAAGGGTGTGCCTGAGAAGTTTATTAACATCCTAAAAGCCCTATATACAAACACCTCAGGCAGAGTGAGGGCATACAACCACCTCTCTCCATTGTTCCATTCGAGCAGTGGGGTTAGGCAGGGATGCCCAATCTCACCATTCCTCTTCAACTTTGCCATCGATAACATTCTGGAAACAGTTCTGATAGATGTAAGTAATGACGGCGTAGATCTGTTGCTTGGAGAAAGACTTCTCGACCTTGAGTATGCGGACGATATTGTCTTACTGTGGGATAATGCCCAAGGCATTCAATCCGCACTTAATCAGTTGGCAATCAGTGTTCGTAGGTATGGTATGTGCTTTGCATCTTCGAAGTGCAAAGTACTTCTACAAGACTGGCAGGATTCTAATCCTGTACTCACCCTGGATGGTGAGCAGATAGAAGTAGTCGAGAAGTTCGTGTATCTGGGTAGTTGCATAAGTGCTGGTGGGGGCGTGAGTGATGAGATCAATGCCCGTATAGTGAGAGCCAGAGCGGCTTATGCCAATCTGGGCCATCTCTGGAGCCTTCGTGATGTTAGTCTGGCTGCAAAAGGTCGGATCTACAACGCGTCTGTGAGAGCAGTCTTGCTCTATGCTTGTGAAACCTGGCCTCCGAGTTGAGGACGTTAGACGACTCTCTGTGTTCGATCATCGTTGTCTCCGAAGGATTGCTGACATCCAGTGGCAACACCATGTCAGTAATGCAGAGGTTCGGCATCGTGTGTTCGGGTACAGAGACGATAATGCAATTGGTGTCACCATCTTGAAACACCGATTTCGGTGGCTTGGACATGTCCTACGAATGTCGTCCCAGAGAATTCCACGTCGTGCATTATTTGCCGACTCTGGAACTGGTTGGAAGAAGCGGAGAGGTGGTCAGTGTATGACATGGTGTCGTGGTATGAAAGAAAGCTGCAATGAGCTGGCTTGTGTTGGTCCTTCACGCTGTGTCTGGGGTCCGAAAGATGATGTAACACAGTGGCTAGAGACGTTATCAGATATGGCTCCGAATAGAAGCCAGTGGTGATCCTACTGTAACCTTCCTTTATATTCTTCATTAAAAAAAGGTTGTTTCTTCTCTGACTGGAAGATTTTTTCTCATTGTACCTTTTCGTTTTCCCCATTATTACTATTATTATTATTATTCCACTACCTTACTAATCCGTTCGTTATTGTTCTTTTTTTAACGCTCCTTACCTTTCATTTTTTTCCTTCTTCTCTTCAAATTCTCATTGTTTTGTGTGGCGCATATATATTGGCGCTCTCTTGTACCAATATTTATGTGTTCAAATAAATAAATAAATAAATTATCGTGCTTACGAAACAGGTACTTTGTAAATCGTTAATACTAAACGTTTCTGAAAAAATTCGATAACCTATAAGGTAGTTGTCTGCAAAATGACAATAAAAACTGACTTTAAAAAATAAACTTGTTTTTCTAATCAGTTAGCACACCTTTGAAGGTAGTAAATTCATAATGTCGATCCCCATATCGGACCTGGATCCATTCTTTGATTAACTTTTATTACGGTGAGCAAAGCTGCTCATAAAGCATTTCAAATATAGATTGGGGAAAAGAGACCGATATGACTGCTTGCGAAAGTGGTAGTATGTGTTAGTAATGTGGGCTGCAACTATCCTTTAGTTCCTAATAACAGTCGGTGTGAAATATTGATGACATAAATGCTTCAAAACCTTAAGTTTATTCCTTTGATCTTGGCATTTCTAGCCAACTTTAGACAAAGACGAACAGCAAAACTTAATGAGTTAATTACGAAGGTCTTTACTATTCACAGTCCAAAATTATTGATTTACCTATGGGACCCGCTAACTTTTGTGCGCTCTCTTATGCCTTCGTTCGAGTGTCCAATTCGACTGTTCTCGGTTGCTAGTCACTGAAGTTTTTAAAACGGCAGAAATTCCGGTGTAATAATTAGAAAAAAACCAACTTGATTAGTTTGGTTTTCGAATATCTAAGACCAATATTTATTAAATGTATGATTTTTATTTTATTTAAACACAAATATTAGTACAAGGGGGGCACCGAATATATATTTGCCACACTCCACCATTCGATTTGTGTAAGGGCTGGGACACTGACCGGGTGCCCAGACTGAAGCGGGTGGTTTCCTTAGGGGGCCACTCCCCGAGCCCTCGACCTAGAGATCCAATCCGCGTGGCACTGAAGCGACGCTAGGGGATGCGGTCCAATGGTAGCCGGTGACCAACGATTGGTTCATACGCCATTTAATCCCTTAGGATCCTGTAGACCATGTGCACCATTGGTTTGGAATCAGGGTTTTACAGCCCCATAGGTGGGTCACGCGAACCCACAAACACGGTTGAAGCGCCGTGCGTCCTCTCAATTTCGTAAACAACACCCCTGCCGCAAAAATGCATTTGGGGTTAATCTGACTTCAAGAATAGTAAATCATGAAATATGAATTGCCCTTCAAATTAAATCTAAAATGGATTGAGCACACTCCCAGTCACCATCAGGTTACTGATTTCTGACTATGACTAAGACGATTTACAGCTAATTGATCACTGAGTAGTGACCAGTGTTATGTGTGTCAAATCCATCTTAGTCCTGATCGAATATTTATAGATCAAGTTGGAATGTGGCCACTAGTCTTAGCGACTCGACATTGGTTACTACTCAATTGTGACTATGTCCTAGAGGAGGTCGGAAGAACCCCAAATAGATAAGCGGTACCGTCTCTGATTATAGTGTCACATGAGATCAGTTTCGCTAGGGAGCATTAATAATGCCCTCAGGATTACAGGTACACCTTCCCGACAAAACCTAGCTTCAAAATTTCCTGTTGACTACCCCCAACCTCAACCGTTAAGAGAATTTCCTATAATATCTCCTGTTTCTTCACCATGGTTGTCTTATCTAGTATTGTTGAAGTCTATTTGTTTAACTTGTGTGGTTATTGTTTCTATGATATTTTATTTTTGGAGATTTTTCGCGAACTATTCCAAAATTCTACTAAATTCAGTTTTTCCGCTTAAATCTTTTAGTTCACACTCTAAAATAGTTTACTGTTCCAAACTTTTATATGGGTCGTCGCCGAAGTAGTAACAAGCCTCCACCAAAGCGGAAAGCTATTGTCCCACTTGACAAAGTGTTTAATTGTCCTTTCTGCAATCATGGTCGATCTTGTGAAGTTATCTTGTAAGTTTTTCCCCTAATAAGTGTCATAGTTTTACGTTTTTCAGGCAACGGGATAACAATATTGGTTACATTAAGTGTACAATATGTTTAGAAGACTTCCAGACTAAAATAAATTATCTTAGCCAAGAGATTGATGTCTACAATGATTGGATCGATGCTTGTGAAGAAGCAAATGCCTAATGCAGACACCTAATATTTATATGGGTTTATTATGCGCTGTACAGAAGACGACGGGCATTTCACTGTACAACAGCAGGCAGTGCAAAATATGCTTTAGATGACAATCGACTTCTTTCATGTTTCGTAAATACGATCATCTCCTTGATATGTAAAATGTATATGTTTGTTTTTTTGCTAGTAATATACATGAAGTGTTTTCAAAGTTCATAAAGTTTTAGTGGATGCATTGATTTGCCATAACTGAGCAAAGTTTTCGCATTGAGGGATAGCGTGCTGATGGATTTTCCTAGGGATTACGATATCCTAAACAAACTATAATATTTTCTCTAAGAGTATGGAAACAATAGTAGGTTTTATCCTGAATATTAGTCATAAGACCATTATTATTTAAATACATGAACGTTGGTACAAGGAGGCATCAAATATATATGCACCACACAAATCATTTGATTTATGTGGGGGCTAGAATCCTGCCAGGGCGCCCAATAAATCTCCCGAAAATGCAGTCACAATTATTTTTTTGCATCTTCGTTTACCATGTAGCTTGTTAAAACGCATAATTCTATCACACTAGTAAGTGATTTTTTTGTGACCAACCCACTTAACGAAATTGCTGTTTGAGAGACTTGTTTTGGCCTGTATTTAATTAGCATTGCGTCCACCTACCAATATTTTCATAAATATGGCAAGGGCAGTGTAGCTATATAAGCAGTACATTGTCAGCGATAAAACACCTATTTGGCAAAGTAAACTGAGATTTTCGTAGAATGGTTATGTAGAAAACCATTTTTTTGACTAAAGAATATTTTGAAGTGTTTCAAAAACACCCATCCATAAAACCTCAGTAAGTAGTAGTTACCTTACAGCTAACATCAGATTGACTTTAATCAAACAGCTATTGAAAGCTAGGAAGCACCGGAGAGTTGTTTCGTCCTAGTATTGAACTCCTCAACAGACTTCGCCGAAGGTCGAGCGCGGGACCTTCGGGTTTCGCGGCAGGCCCTTAGCCCACTGAACCGGATCCAATGGTTTACGCATCTAATGTCGAAACACCTATCCATTACCTTCTGGTTTGCGATAGTTAAGCCAAGACCAGTCTGATGTTAACTATCAAATTCAACAGTCTCCACAAATCCCCTGTATAGTAATGGTTATCTGTTTATGTGCTGGTTGTTATTGTCCTTCGAAACGACTTTTAGTGAAGTCATTGTGACCAATTTCCTGTGTTGTCTTGAAATACGACAATTCAAACTGACAGACCGTTGTATAAGGTTGTTTTCCCTTAAGACAGTAGGTGGATATACATGTTGATATTTTAAAATTTCATTTAGAAAGTTTAAAATTTCCGTAGACTTGGATAAATCATTCATATCAGTATAAATGTACGTTTGCTTATATTTTTATTACTTATTCAAACCTTCCAGAGACTTAAAATTTAGTTCGAAAACATGGCAATACATCAGTTAGTGGAGAAGATAGACTACTGCATATTATATACGTACGAAGTTCTTTGTTACTGACTGATTGATATACAAAAGAGTATGGTTCGCATAAAATTTAAACGATTATTTTATTTAATCGCAAAAACAAAATTACCAAACAGCTGTAATAAATAAGACCATTGATATATATATATATATATATATATATATATATATATATATATATATATCAATTTCCAGTTGTAGCTTTAAAGGTACAGAATGACCCTGCAAGATTATCTAAAATAAAAAGTGGAAAAATATTTAAAATATATTGAAAGCAGTTAATAATAAACCAATGATCAGCATTGATTGACTGCAGTCAAAATGTTGACAAAGGAAGATTTATATGTACAAGCTAGCGTATGTTTACGAGAGGTTTATAATGATCACAAGCAGGAATTGATGAACTCTAAATGAAATGCATGGCAATTTTCACTAAATCAAATGGAATCATAATGTTTGCGACATTTATTCTACGCTTTAGTTTGTAATAATGTACGAACTAGTTCCCAATTGGATTTTTCGACAAAAAGACTTATTCCAGGCAATTGAGCTGATGGAATGATAATAGCTGGAGAATTGGAAAATTGTTCCACCTCTGTAGAGTTTGTACGACTACAACTGATAGATGGAGTTGTATCAGGAAATAACGTGGATTGATGGTTTACACAATCTAACGATACGACGGTTGATAACTCTAGAGTATCAGCCCAACGCTCCAAACTGCGCAAAGCACACAATACTTGTCCTAAATAAAAAGATGGAAAAAATAGTACAATTTAAAGCCTTGGTACTACATAAAGAAGACAATTACTTAGCACAAAGGGAAATTGGCGAATAAGCACATTGACTTTCTGCAAGAATCTGTCAGTTAGAAATCGCTCAGTTACCATAAACGTTAAATTTTGCCTTGGTTTCAACTTTGTATATGATGATATACTACGCAGTGTATTTTGACACAGCTGTAATATTTACACCTCGTAACAAAGTTACCATTTTACTGTAAAAAAAGCAGCATTAGAACTCAAACAAACAGTTGACACTTTCGAAATTCCTTCGGTTTGCGATACTGTATACTACTTATTCCTTAACACAACTTATGACAAGATTGATAACCAATTCCAAAGTGGGTTGTCGAGAATTTTTATTCAAGGAGAAGAAAGTAGAACTAAATAGTGAGTTAGCTTGAAAGAGTAATTTCTAATTCTCTTTGGAGGCTAGTGGGGCTCACTGCAACGACAAGTTTCTGCCAGTGACAATCGGACAGGGTAGGAATAGTACCACAAACTGACTTAATATAACGAATGTCACTCATCGCATCTTTCGAAGTAGTTATTTAAGACCATAGTGTTTATCAATGATCAGTTGTACCTATTTGAGCATGAGTCAGTAAATATACCAGGGAATTTGTATTGTACATTACAGTTGTACATGCAACTGCAACAATTCTGAAGTTAGACGTGCGGTTTTTGGAAAACAGCAAATCGGTTGATGAGATTCTGAATCTTAGTCGACGGTGGTTAAGAAATATGTAAGTATCCCCAACCATCGCTTACTTCGATACGAGATGCTTGCTGGTATAGGACTAAGCTAAAATAAAGCTATTAAAAGCCAAATCAAGATGTAAAATAAATATTCGTGAAGTCACAGACTACTAGAGTGAGCTGTTTATCTAAGTAGGTGCCATCTATTTGGCCGGGATCTGTGCGGTTATTGTGATCACTTGTTGAATTTGAGTGACATGGCTCAGAATCGATCACAATGGCACAGATACACTTATTATTTGTCCTCTATTTGGTTTCGAGTTTCAAAATTATTTCATACACTATTTTGCGAATATACCGCTTTTTCCCGAATCACTTCATCTATACTGTTACTGATATTACAACTTTTTTTTTCCTACTTTGATATTCATATTGATAATTTTATCATGGTTTGTTGATATGGTGTGGCAACTTGAACTGATATGCATTTATCCTAAATTCTATGTTTATTTCGACATCAGTGGCTGACCCAACCATGATAAAAAGAAAAAACAACTTGAATCGAAATTTATCAACGAATAATGAGTCATACCTTTATCTTATCACTGTTAAACGTTTAGATGGAACGGTGACTTGATCACAGAAAAACAGAGCACACATAGTTAAAATATCTAAAAACACTATTTCATGTTTCTAATTTATCCAGTTGTCGATGTGATTAGATGTCTTTCGAATGAGTTGAGTTTAATTAAAATAATGAACCGAGCAATTAGACGATATTTAAAACTTGGAGGCACTGGACCGACATTTCGTCCTAGTGTGCAACTTTCCGCTAATCCCTATCGATGATCTCGCAACTGGGAATCGAAACCGCGTCGTAGATGCGTGCCACTTAGTCGCGTACTGTGGAGAAACAGTCGTTTAGTGTTCCAAAGTTTTCAATGGTCGTCTAACTTAGATCGGTTCGTGATTTCAGTGAAGTACAATTGGATTCGACATCGAAATAAATGACTTCATATTACTACAATTACAACTAAATGACTGTGTGAGAACGGGATTTATGGGGATTTTTTGATATTGACATTAAAAATTAGATTTATCCTTGAAATAACATGACTACTTCACGTTTTTAGTTGATTATTTATTCAAAATTACCAGTAACCTTTTTTAGAACTATGATTTATTCGGCAAAATATAACATTTAGAAAAGATTAAGCACTAATGTATCACGAGCATAAATGTCTACTTTTACCTACCCATTATATTCATAGAAGCCCATCTAGGATCCGGGTGTCTCGCAAGTAAAGTAAGACTTTCACCAGTGAAAAATGTTGATTTACAAAAAATATGTTGCTTATCTTCTATAGTTTGATCTCTATCAGGGCATAATTTTGAGTGTAAATAATGCTTTGTCCATAAATTGGAAATTTGTGCTTTAGAAATACGGATTTCAGGTTTCTTAGATAATTGATCTAAGACATATTGGACAGGGACTAGTTCGTTTGGATTTGTAAGGTAAACCTCATCTGTTAAAAAAGGAAAAGAAATTAAAAATAATAAAGGATTAAAGTTTCGGTTATCCTAAGGACGCCTTCGATTACTGGTCATATACAACTACTTATCTTCATTCTGCCCTTAACTAATAAAAAAACATCAAATAAACCAAAAAAGGGTGGTTTACACAAGTGATAACTACTTACATGTTTAGAAAACTCGTGAAACTAAAGTAAAAAGTCATATTAGAAAGTAACGACAGTAACAGAAAAAAGCATTTCTATCCGCGGAAAAAAGGAGGATGTTTCCTATTGTGCAACTAGACAAGTATACAGAGAAAATCCATTTTAAAAATAATGAACGGCTTTTGGAGATTTAAAAAACCTAAACAAAAATACAGATTTAATGGTTGAAATACTCATCTAAATTATGCCCCACTTTGGTTTATACAGTTACGAAGTAATATCACGGCCTCTGACAAACTAGTTCAAAGCCCAGTTTTTTTTTACATAATTATTTGGACACATAAACGTTGGTACAAAGGAATACTACAATACATATGCGCCACGCAATAACAATGAGGTTGTTAAGAAATGAAGAATGAAGGGTGAGTATATTAAAAAAAGAAGAACGAACAACAATCAATAGGAATTAGTGTATGGAAGTGAAATAGTAAT